TCAAACAATTCCATAAGAGAGACATCGTGATGTACGTCTGCCGCACGATAAATAATCAATAACAATAATAAATTCCACGGTCGCACTATTCTACTACAACAAGAATTTCAATCAACCAAAAAAGAAAATAAATACAATTATTTTTATTTCTAACTACTCTTGTTCTTTGTCTGTCTGTGTGATGACGTTCTAATCAAGAGTGTACAGGTACCACCTCAAGCCCGTGTGATCAGATACAACACACAAATAAGTACGCACAGCACCACAACACAGCAAACGACAAGGTAAGAATGCCAACATCAATCAGCAAACAATTTGTCAGCAGTCTTCTTCTTCTTTTCCTTGTGTCGTTCCTGGTGTCAATGCGACACCGCACCCCTCTTGACAACTGCAACTACAGCTGTCCAGTCAGCCGTTCAATCAGCCGTACCACCTTCGTCTTCAAGGTGCAACTCTTACTTGGGAGCCACCTGCCTGCCAGGTGTCATCCCTGGCATGCCAACATAGCAAATTTGCCACGTCACGTCAGCAGATGTGTACTCTGATCCTTCCCACTTGCCAATTCGTCGCGTCTTGGTGTGATACCGTCGCTGCCCCAGCCATGCCACGTCAGCCAATTGAGACCTATGCCACGTCAACAGGTAATCACCACATCAGGGACTGGTGTGATGAATCTCCCTACCACATCAGCGATCAGCCTTGACTTCCCCAAAGGCCACGTCAGCACCTGTTCCGGACCTGGTCGCGTCTCAGCTGCTAATGCAGCATGAGAATGCCACGTCAACAATTTCCAGCAAACAAGCCTTTAGATGTGGCACGTAATATGGCACGCCAGCATGGGATCGCGATGCCTTACTTTCCCGATCTTGGCTGGCGCGCGGGCACTTCTTGATCTCGATCCCGTCTGCCGCGTCAGCAATCGCGACGGGATTCGGTCTTCTCGCCAGCGACGTTTGTGCCTCGTCAGCAAAACCGACGGTCTTTGTCATTGTCCACGTCAAATCTCGTAGTCATCACATCATACATGCACGTGTCACTTACCTAGCGCGCGTCGTCATCAGGAGTATGCTCTGATACCAAATTGCAATGAACCCAGATCGTAAAGACGCTTGTCAACAATGCAAGTTCATATGAATGTCAACCCGCTGATGATTATCAATAATCATAATCGTGTCCAGATAGAATGAGGTGGGATAATCATACACAGACGAAGGAGAGAGGACGGAGATTAGACAAAGGAGAGGAATGAAGAACAAGGCCCACTCTTGCTTCGGGCTTCCTCCTCGATCGCCACCTCAGATAATCAATAGTCTAAACACACATCTAAAGTTCTATTCCAGTGTGCCACGTGGCACGTCGATCAGACCCTCATCAACGTACTGGAGCAATATCGACCTCAAGATAACCATGTACGTGTCCACAATCATCCCACAATCATGATCTCCTCCCGAGTGACGATGAATCAGAACAGTCGTGCCGGTCACATAGCGCAACCACGTCAGAAGATAGAATACGTGGCAGCCGCCACGTCAGCAGCAACGCGTGACAGCGGCCACGTCAGCATGCCTTGAAGACAATAGCCAGCCAGCCACCATGTCGAGCCAGCAGCTCGTCGTCGTGATCTCCCAAGTGCCAGCACTAAGCCAGCGTCCGCCAGCGTCGCGTCGTCAACGCGTGAAGTCAGCATTGACGCAAGACTGAATGAATGTCAACGTCAGGAAGTCAGCGCTTAAGTAGCGTTGACGCAGGGTCTGGACCCCGAATGCCGCATCCCTCAGCCGTCCAGATCTCAATGCAAATATCGACCCAGATTGACCTGAAACCGAATTCCTTCTGGCCTCGATGTTGTTTGGGTACCTGCACACAACAAGTGAGTGTATCCGACCAAGGGCCTGGGCGCGGTACCTTTTGACATGACAGTTGGCTTAGACTTTTGATTTTCCCACGGGCAGTGTGTGGTCACACTGCCTGGCGTAGGCTGAGTTTGGCCTGCGTCGTTTGGGCTCCGTTTCGAGGGCCCAGACTGCTACAGAACACGGGTTACTGCAAACGCCTTCGATTTGTAAAAATTTAGGCAACACTTCCTTTAGCGAAAGTGTCTTTCCAAATTTTATACAAAGCCAAATATGAGAAGTAAAATTAACTCTAAAATGCAGAAATTGAACTAATTCTTATAGATCCAGTACACCGCGAGCGTCTAAAGCAACTACCCATCATAAGATAACTTAAATTAGACTTACAATCACAAAAACATATGCAACCAAAGTAAGTCTCTCACCAATTCGCAAATTATCTTTCATGCAAGTAGTTGGTTAAACCTTCAAATGATTAACCCTTTACCCCATCTTACATAGGGCATTGAGTTAGGCCATTCATCTTAGAAACAATGCCCAACCCTTTGCCTTTGTTATACACGAACAGGTTGCACAACTACTCTCTTCATTGGGCATGTTACTAAGCCATTCAACTTAGAACCCCCTCTTAGTCGCCCTGAACTGTTTTATAGCCAAATCATATTTATGCGAGGCAAAAGGCCCCGACGAGCCCCTTTTTGGCCCTATAAGCAGCACTGTCGCCTGCCCTAAGTGAAGGCGGGTCCGACCAAGGCCAAAAGGCCTATTTTTCGGCCACCGCGCAATTGGGAAAATTCAAGCAGTTGCGTAGCGCCAGTTGGTTGAGAGCGCTGCGCTATGCTGAATGAGGCGCATGGTGGTGCATGTCGCATTTGTGAGTTGGGGATCGAGGTTGAGAGTGATGTGAGAGGCATACCTGGTGCTTGAGGCGTATGGCATTGGCCGAGATCTGCTTGTACTTCGGGGAGTTGTTGACGTCACCAGCTGTAGATAGGCTAGATAGGATCTGCCATTTGTAGTCTGGGTGCAGAGCGCCAGATAGGATGTCGACATTGGTTCATTGTTTATGATGATGAGACACTTCCAACATTGTCACTTGTGAGCTTTTGTTGTGCTCTTATTTGGTGAAACTCGTGTTGCAATTCTGCTTTTGGTCTGAGGTCACGACTATCTGGTTTCATGTGTATGATGCTGCTTGGTTTCTGGAGTCCGCTATCTCTCATTTTCCTTGCAATTTGGTATCAGAGTTGTGGTACATTGGGTTAATCTGCCGCTTGTCTTCTGCCTATGCGGTACATGCATGCGATCGACTGGGTGAGTGGTTGTAGGGAGTGTGTAGTGAGGAGGGCGAAGTCAAGTAGGCGACCAAGGTGAAGAGGGGTATCGCCAGGAAGGCTACGTGGTGATTATTGGGTGTTCGCAGTGTGATGAGAACTATCTGATGTGCGATTGATGCTGAGGTGGAACGGCGGTATAATGCTGGTTGTGCCGAAGCAGCGATTGATCATCACAATCGACATCACGTCATGTAGTGAGAATATTTGTGGTTTGGGGCAGCTATTTTGAGGTACGTTGCTCTTAACCTTATCTACCCTCTTCGACACTTCTTATTGTGAGGACGTGTGTTCTGTCTCGAGTCCTCTCATGTGAGGAGTCGTGCGCGCTCAACCTTGAGAGTCGACATTGTTCACGTGGAGCATCTGGAAGGAGAGGGTGGAGCTATCTGAAGGGCCCTGGACGAAGCACTGGGTCATACTACCTCTCTGTGGCACAACCCTAGTTTGACTGGGACCGAAAAGTGGTCAAACACACTTTGCCAGGTGGAGGGACCGCCAGATTGAGTAAGTTCAAAGCTAGTAGTCTGATCGAGTCCCATGGGTGCATGTGTGCGGCCTCGTTCTATAATTACTATAAGCAAAATCAGGATGAGGGTATGTATGTCTCTGTTGTAGGCGAGCCGGTGAAAATGCCGCCGGAGATAGAGGGAGTAGTTGCCAAGTACCCTTATCTATTTGAAGAGCCAACAGGGGTTGTAGAGAGGGAGGTCGTCCACGCGATAGAGATTATCCCACGGTCTAGCATCCCGAAGGGTAGGATCTATCAGATGTCTCCAGGCGAGCTCGACGAGCTTCGCCGACAACTCAAGGAACTCGTAGAGAAGGGTTGGATCCGGTTGAGTGTCTCTCCTTATGGGCCTCCAGTACTATTTTTATCTAAGAAGAAGGAGGGAACACTGAGGATCTGCATTGGCTATAGGGGCCTCAATGCCATCACTATCAAAAATAGAGAGCCCCTACCATGCATCGATGATTTGTTAGATAGAGTGCAAGGGTGTCGGTACTTCAGTAAGATAGATCTGAAGTCAGGGTACCATCAGATTGCAATCCGGCCCGAGGATCAACACAAAACCGCATTTCAGACCAGGTACGGTATGTACGAGTTTGTGATGATGCCTTTCGATCTATGCAACGCTCGTGGCACCTTTCAGCACGCCATGAATCCGACCTTTCATGACTACTTGGATAAGTTTGTCATTGTGTACCTCGATGACATACTTGTTTTTAGTAAGACTGTCGAGGAGCACGTTGCACATTTGGACAAAGTCCTCAGTCTCCTGCGACAGCACAAGTTCAAGATCAACGTTGAGAAGTGCGAGTTCGGCCGCACCCGTGTCTTGTACTTGGGTCATGAGATTTCCGCGGAAGGGTTGAAGCCCGATGACGCGAAGGTGGCCAGCATTCGTGATTGGCCGCGTCCTCAGTCTGTGACTGAGATGAGATCTTTCTTAGGGATGACCGACTACTATCGCAACTTCGTGAAGAACTATAGGATAGTTGCCGCCCCTTTGACTGATTTGACCCCCCTTGACACCCCATGGGAGTGGACTGAGAGATGAGAGGCTGCTTTCAGACATCTGAAGCATGCGTTGACGCATTACGAAGTCTTGAAACTTCCTGATCCTGACAAACCATTTATAGTGACTACGGATGCTAGCCAATATGGCATAGGCACCGTACTTGCACAACAGGAGGGGAAAAGTTGAGGCCTGTTGAGTACATGTCCACAAAGATTCCATCTCAGAAGTTGGCAAAATCCACTTATGAGAAGGAACTCTATGCGGTGTACAAGGCTCTGACCCATTGGAGACACTATCTCCTTGGGAGGTTCTTCATCCTCAGGACTGATCATCAAACCCTGAGATGGATGAGAACTCAGCCTATACACTCTGACGCTCTCAAGCGTTGGATTGAAGTCATAGAGCAGTATGACTTCGAGCCCCAGTACATCAAGGGCGAGTACAACAAGGTTGCTGATGCCTTGTCGCGTAGACCTGATGTCTCAGGTGCGCTGATCACTGAGTTTGGGCTTGAGGACAATGTTACTCAGTCCATGGTGGAAGCCTATCGCGAGGATCCGTTCATATCGGAGATCATCCGCAAACTCGAGGCAAAGGAAAAAGTGACTTCTGCCGAGTTTGAGTTGGTCAACGACTTGCTGTTCCTTGACAAGGCAGGGAATAAACGTTTGTATGTTCCTAATAGCGAGTCTTTGCGTAGTTTATTTGTAGGAGAATGTCATGATGCCACCGGACATTTTGGCTTTAAGAAGACTGCAGCCAATCTGTTGCAGCGATTCTGGTGGCCCACGATGATCAGAGATGCGAAACTGTACGTGGAGACTTGTCAGGTCTGTCAAAGAGACAAGCCACGTACTCAGGCTCCTCTTGGGCTTTTGAAGCCCCTTCCGATTCCTGAAAGGCCTGGTGAAAGCTTGTCCATGGACTTCATGGATACACTGGTCACCAACAAGAGTGAGATGAGGCACATCTTCGTTATCGTGGACAGATTTAGTAAGAATGCTAGGTTAGTACCGATGCCGGAAACAGCAAAAACGGAGTATGTGATTAGGATGTTCAAAGAGAACTGGGTCAAGGATTTCGGTTTACCGAAGTCCATTATAAGTGACGGGGATGTCCGATTTACCAGCGAGTTGCGGAAGGCCGCCGCTGCGGAACAGGGAACATAGTTGCAAATGACTTCTGGGAACCACCCAGAGGCAACGGCCAAGCCGAGCAACTGAACCGCGCTGTCCAAAACCTGTTGAGGCATTACATCAAGCCCAACCAGGTGGACTGGGATGAGAAGCTTGCTCTCATCGACAGCCTGTACAACAACGCGGTACACAGCGCTACCGGGGTGAGCCCAAACAACTTACTACTGACTTTTAAGCCTAGACTACCCTTTGATTTCCTTCTTCCTGAGAACCAGGCAACTGCTGCTCCAGGTACCTTAGAATTTGCTTACCGGCACGAACAAAAGATGCAGCAAGCTGTAGAACGGATGCAGAAGGCACAGGCGGCTATGATAGAATCTGCGAACAAACACCGCCGTGAGTCTTCATTTCAGGTTGGGGACAGAGTCTGGGTTAAGTCCTCAGAACTGGGACAGGAGCACGGGATCTCCCGCAAGCTCATGCCTTAGTACTTTGGACCATGGGAGGTCTTAGATCTTGTTGGGACTGATCCGGATTGACCTTCTTACGTAGTCCGGATCCCTGGTCATCTTCGTACTTACCCTGTCTTTCACGCCTCCAAACTTGCACCTTTTAAAGAAACTGATCAGTTCCCCTCTCGTCGCTCAATGCGGCCCCCAACCATGGATGGAGAGGTGGATATCGATGATATCGTGGACCACACGGAGCTGCCAGTGTCAAGACCAACAGGCAGGGGACGTCCTCCGAAACCGAAGCTGCAATACCGTGTTCGGTTCCGGCATCACACTGATCCGAAGGAGGACCGCTGGTTCACCAGGGAGGAACTCATGCAGACCGCTCCACAAGTTGTAGCCCACTACGAGAGATCTCTGCAGAAGGGATAGCGCCCAATGGTTGAAGACTGCGCTTCTCAGAGGACTGTTGAAGCTAAGGAGGAGGGAATGCGAGGCCACTGCCTCTATGAGCCCCATTCGGCCCCATTTTGGAGCAAGTCGGCCGCCCTAAGTGAAGGCAGGCCCGACGAGGCCCTCAGGGCCCTATTTCGGCCACTGCGCAACTAAGGAAATTCAGGCAGTTGCGCAGCGCCAGTTGGTTGAGAGAACCCAGGCCCTGGGCCGCCTGTGTGAATGTATGGAAAGCAGGCCCTGGGTTGGATACGGGTACTGGGCCAAACACAGGCCAAAGGCAGTTGGGTGCATGCAACCACCTCAGGCCCAAGGCCTGTTCTTGAACGTGCTGGGCCTTAGGCTACCGGGGCCTACTGGAAGCTTCCTGGGACTGAACGCAGGCAGGCCACTTCGATATAGCAAAGGGCCTGCCTCCACATTCGGGATTCAGGTGCTGGCTGCATGCTGCGCAAGCGCTGCCACGCTGGCACTCACGCGCTCACGGGCGAGCAGGAAGGAGCAGGCAGCCATAGCCGAGCTGCGCTGCTGTAAGCTGGGTGTGGCGCAGGGTGGTCCTAGGGTGCAAGTGGCATCTGTGTGTTGGGGAACGAGGTTGTGAGTGAGGCGAGAGACATATGCAATGACTTGCTGATTTCCACTGCCGAGATTGACTGCGAGGCTGTATACTAACCGGTAGGATTAGATTCGTAATTTTGTTTGGCTAAGGGCTAACCGAGAGACCTGTCTGTGAGGAAATTCGTGAGGGACATATGTGCAAATCTGGGAAAATATAGGCCCAGCACTAACCCGAATTTCTACAGCTACCCTAACTGGTGATAGCAGGCCCGGGCTACCCCTAGGACAGACAGGCCCTAAGTGGCCTATACTGCTAGACGGTCCTATAGCCTATAGCCGGGTCCGGTAGAGGCCGAGAGGCCGAAACAGCAACGGTACTGGTCGATCAGTCAGTCCGGTCTAGGTCTAGGCAGTCTATAGATAGGTTAGGCCCATCGGTTCAGGACTTTTGGCAGTTCATTTCTCGCGAAGCAGCGTTGGNAGTCTATAGATAGGTTAGGCCCATCGGTTCAGGACTTTTGGCAGTTCATTTCTCGCGAAGCAGCGTTGGAGAAGCCAAGCAAGTTGGTGGCGGTATCTGTCTACAGGCGGCATCTTGAGACTCGCCGTTGACAGCAGCCATAGCCGGCCCAGCCTGAGTCTGCCATAGTTGGGGCATCCTCAGCGCATCTACCCCTGGGGTATCTGCGTATGGTCGGGCTATACCGAGGCTCTACACTGTGTACTCGTGGGTGGTGGCAGCCATAGCTGCCTGTTCCTTCGGCCGAGTTGTCCATCGGCACTGAAGACTTCATCGCAAGACTTGTTCTTCATCAGGGTGGTTGGTGCTAGCCTCTCAGAGGCTGTTCTGATGTGGCGCTACTAACTGGGTGTAGGATAGAGAGTGGGGTGTGAGTTCTGAGAGTGGCGAGATACTGGAACAAACTCTGTTACGATAATGGTTTGAGTGGCTCATCATCAGTGTAATTTTCAATTGTGATCTTCCCAGGTTCTTTCTTGTGATTGGTTGTTGGGAGTTGTGTCAGAGAGTGAGAAACACTGTGTGTTCTCTCCCCATCTGTGCATGATTGCTTTCCGCTGCTTATTTTCACCTGTGTGCAGTTTGGACTCTGTCTCCTCTCTCCCCTTCTTTTATGCATGTATGGGCATGTGTGAGATTGTCTGTGTGTGAGTGGCGATAAAATTCGTCAGACAACCAAGTTCATAACAGTTGGTATCGGAGCAAGATTGGAATTGGAACACTGAGGGTTGAGCGCACTGAGGCATCTTCTTCAACTGGCGATATACTGGCGAGAGTTTCATGGCGATTCATCTTCCCCAGTGCCGAGTCAGCAGGGAAGAAGACTTTCAGCGGTGGAATCAAGTGTTCAGTGGTTGCACTGAGCAAGCGCACTGAGCCTGTCAGGGCGCTTGGCAAGAAGTGGCGAGTACAGGGCTAATTCGCCATAGCCAACCCTGAGGGTAATACTGCGAATTACCCCAGAGTGGCGAATTACCCCTGAGGACATCAGGGAACCCTGAGCGGCATCATCCCTGGGTAGCGCTGGCTGAGATTGACAGTCTGTGTCAATCTCCTGAAGAAATAACCCCATCGGGGGCTATTTTTAGCATCAACGGCTACCAGGCACTGTGGCGAGATATTTTGGTGTTGGCCTACTGGGCGCCACAGGACCAGATACAGGGTATCTGGGGTGAAGGGGTGCAGCGCTACAGGATCCTGAGGAGGATCAACGAATTTGAAGCAGTTCTGTGCGTGGGATTGTGAGGAGGAATATCTGGAGGAAATTGGCGAGATCAGGGTATCATCAGCCATAGCCAGATCTTCATCATCACCTGCAAGATACTCTGAAAGTGAATCCGTTCCATGCACCTACCTGTATTGCGATCCAGATAGGGTTAGTTTAGTGAATTGTATTGGTCTATTTGTCTGTCAGTGACTGGATGTGAAAATCGCAGACTGCATGACAACCATAGCCATCTCTCCCCTACCTCTCTCTGCTCATATCTCATCCTATGTTGACTCTTTTGGGTCCAAATTGGTTCTGTGACTGCTATACTGCATTGTGATTGATCTGGGATGCTTAAACAGTGAATTCTGTACTGGAAAGGTAGTGATACTCTGAATTGCTGTTTTGCGCCGAGTCTATTTTTAGCCTGTGCTACCTAGGGTCAGTCATAATTTCAATTCTGTACGTCAGAATCAGTTCTGTCAGTCCCCAGTGAATCGCAATCCAAAAATAGACTATACTGTAGGATCGCAGGATTGGATTTGCAGTATTTCACTGGATACAATGAAAACTGTAATTCGCCATACCCTAGGGTATGGTCGCCAAAGTCATCAGAGTTCAAAATTGAGTCTGAGTCAGGATACAGGTTAACTGTCTGCATCGCTTGTTGTGATTGACCTCTTTTGTCTGTACTAACCACTTTCGATCATTCTCACTGAGGACACTTGCTTTCTAGTGGGCACTGGAATTCTAGTGGGTCTCTGGAAAAGTAGTGGAGTGTGTTTACTAACTCTAGTGTGGTTCAGGGTCAGTAAAAGGAAATCGTGTGATTGATTTTGCTGGACTTACAGTCTGTCTGACACCTGACCCCAGAGACACCCTTCTAACCCAACCCGCTGATTGCCTATTCACCCACCTACTCCAGTGTCTGAGTGTTGCAGCGATTCCAGTGTGTCTACAGGAATCTGTTTATCGCTGCAGCTCAGGTTGTTGTTTATTTTATTTTTGGTTTTGTTTTGAACTGGGAAAATGTCTGAGCAGGGGACAAAGCAGCAGCCACAGGTGGAGGTGGTGATGAAGGTGGAAGGTGAACAACCATCAGCCTCCACTCCCCCTTCTCCACCTCTAACTGCTACTCAGCGGCTGAAGAAAGAGTTAGAAGAACAACTGCGGCAGCAACAGGCCAGACTTGCAAAAGTGGAACAGCACGAGGCTGCTGAACTAGAGGCTGCAACAAATCATTCCAGAAGGGAATATCTGTTGCAGCAGCTAGAGAGGTCGCTCACTGATGATCGTTGCTCCCAGGTCACCAAGCACATGGCATAAATGATCCTGTTGGAGCACAAGATCATCAGCTCCCAGTTCACAAACTGGGATGATCGTTTTGTGCGGCTGGAGCATCGGGTTGACGAGCTGTCAGCTCAGCAGACTAAGATCCTGAAGTCTATTCAGGGCTTGATTGCTCAGCTGGCAGCCGCCAAGCTGATCACTCCTCAGCCCCCTCTGCTGCAGCCCAAACCTTCTCCTCATTCTTCACCCCCTTCCTCTCCACATACATCACATGCTGGCTCAATACATTCTTCCCGGTCATCCACCCCTTCCCAAAAGGCCTCAGCAAAGGCCACCTATGCTGCTGTTACTGCAGGAGACCAGAGAGGTCCCAAGATCCCTGCTCCCAACAAGTTTAGGGGTGATGACCCCAAGACCGATGTTGGGGACTGGGCTGCTGGGACCCAAGCCTACTTGAGGGGCTTCATTAGTGCAGAACAGACCAAGGTGGCGACTGTTCTGGGACTGCTGGAGGGACCCGCCCTGAAGTGGGCCACCTCAACTTCCAGCAGTCTGCAGCAGTCCATGGAGGACAGGGCTTTTGGGTTGGGGGTGGACAGACTTCTGCAGGCCCTGGAGGACCGGTTTGCAGACAAGGAACGGG